TTAGACATACACCACAACAGAATGGGGTGGCAGAGCGTATGAATCACTATTAGAGAAAGTTCGATGTATGTTGTCTAATGCTGGGTTAGGCAAGGTATTTTGGGCTAAGGCTGTGACATATGTTGGCCATCTCATCAATCGTCTGCCATCATCAGCGATAGGAGGAAAAACACCATTGGAGGTATGGTCTGGAAAACCTGCTACTGATTATGATTCCTTACATGTATTTGGATCCACTGCTTATTATCATGTGAAGGAATCCAAGCTTGATCCTAGAGCAAAGAAGGCTCTCTTTATGGGAATCACCCATGGAGTGAAGGGATTCCGCCTTTGGTGTTTAGACACCAAGAAGATAATTTGTAGCAGAGATGCTACCTTTGATGAATCTGCCCTAGTAAAGAAGGTAACAAGTGAAGCTGTCCAGACAAGTAGTACTCCGCAACAGGTGGAGCATACTCCAAAACAGGTGGAGTTTCAGCAGACGATGATCCCAGAAGTTGATGCAGCTGATTCTTCAACTCCAATAGAAGAATCAGAAGATGAAGAGGTTCAAACCCAATAACCATTGGAGACACCATAACCACTTGCAGTTACAAGGCCAATGAGAGAAATTCGTAGACCTGCTCGATTTGTTGATATGGTGGCCGATGCTCTTCCAGTTATTGATGATGATATCCCTATCACTTACCAAGAAGCAATACAAATCTTGGAAAGTGATAAGTGGAAAAGTGTCATGGATGAAGAAATGCAATCTCTCCAAAAGAACAACACTTGGAAACTGGCACAATTACCGAAAGGTAAAAGAGCCATTGGATGCAAGTGAGTATTTGTAAAGAAATGGATCTCATAGCAAGAAAGATGTTCGCTACAAGGCACGGTTGGTAGCTAAAGGCTACGCTCAAAAGGAGGGAATCGACTACAATGAAGTATTTTCCCCTGTTGTGAAGCATTCCTCCATTAGAATATTGTTGGCCTTGGTAGCACAGTTGAATTTGGAGCTAGCTCAACTTGATGTAAAGACGGCTTTCTTGCACGGTGATTTAGAAGAGGAGATCTATATGACTCAGCCAGAAGGATACAAAGATGGTGGTTGTGAGAAATGGGTTTGTAAGCTGAACAAATCGCTATATGGATTGAAGCAATCTCCGAGGCAGTGGTACAAGTGATTTGATAGCTTTATGAGGAGGCAAAAGTATACTAGAAGCAAATATGATCATTGTGTGTATTTGCAAAAGCTCAAAGATGGATCTTTCATTTATCTTTTCTTGTACGTTGACGATATGTTGATCGCTTCGAAGAGTCAAAATGAGAGACAAATTAAAGGCTCAGTTGAATCAAGAGTTTGAGATGAAAGATCTAGGTGAGGCCAAGAAGATTCTTGGTATGAAGATAAGCAGAGATAGACAGAGATGGAAGCTTTGTTTAACACAGAAGCAGTATCTGAGAAATGTATTACAATGTTTTTGCATGAATGAAAATACCAAACATGTAAGTATCCCATTGGCTTCTCATTTGAAACTTAGTTCTCAATTATCTCCTAAAACTAACAAAGAACGAGTGTATATGGCAAAAGTTCCATATGCTAATGTAGTTGGGAGCTTGATGTATGCAATGGTGTGTACGCGTCCTGACATTTCACAAGCAGTTGGAGTTGTGAGCAGGTACATGCATGATCATGGAGAAGGACATTGGCAAGCTGTGAAATGGATTCTACGGTATCTCCAACAAACCGTGGATGTTGGTTTATTTTTTGAATAGGGTGAATCACTTGGTCAATATGTGGTTGGATATGATGATTCCGATTATGCTGGTGATTTGGATAAGCGTCGATCAACTACTGGGTATTTTTTTACTCTTGCTAAAGCCCCAGTAAGTTGGAAGTCTACATTGCAATCTATGGTGGCCTTGTCTACTACAGAGGCAGAATACGTGGCAGTTTCAGAGGCTGTAAAGGAAGTAATTTGGTTTAACGGGTTGATAGAAGACTTGGGAGTTGTTCAAAGTCACATTAGTCTCTATTGTGACAGTCAGAGCGCTATTCACTTAGCGAAAAATAAAGTCTACCATTCAAGAACTAAGCATATCGACGTGAGGTATCACTTTGTGCGGGAGATCTTTGAAGAATGAAAGATTCTACTTTAGAAAATTGCGACATCAGAAAATCCTGCAGATATGATGACCAAGGTGGTAACAGTAATCAAGTTCAATCATTGTTTGAACTTGATTAACATCCTGAAAGTATGAACACCTTCGGGTGTGTGGCGCTTGTAAGCGCAATTAGAGGCACTACAAATTTGGGGAGTTGACGAAGTTGAGTAGGCTTGGTATTTTCAAGCCAAGGTGGAGATTTGTTAGATTTGTCTAGAAATTAAGTTGACAAGTTGGAAATTTCATCTTGGTTGGTGGCCAACTTATTGGAAATTTCATCTTGGTTGGTGGCCAAACTTTGAACATGTGAATTTCATATTTGGTGGCTAACTTGTACACATTGGAAAATTCTTTGGTAGGTGGCCAAACTTTGAACATATTGTTCTTAAAACTCAACTATAAATAGGCCTAAGTATTTCCATTAGAAATCATCCCAAAAACAAGTTTTCTCTTCCTCTTGTATTCTTCATTCTCCCACTTTGGGAATTCTAAAGAATTCCATTTGTTGTAATATTGACGATATAGTGAAGTTATCATCCGGTGTGGTGCCCAAGGAGTAGACGATATTCTCGTCGAACCTCGTAAATTTGATGTGTTCTCTCCTTTATTGTTTTTATTCGGTTCTTTTCCATTGTGTTTCAATATTCAATAGTTTGACATATTTATCCACTGTGCAACCTTTGGTGGTTTTAATCTTGACATTTTAGGTCAATTTTAAAACTACGTTCGTGTGAGAAATAACCCGTTTTCCCCAACAAAGAAATGGGTATTTTGAGTCTTATCTAATAATAAGAAATATCGGGACAAGAATTGATGCCCCCTCCCCCTCATATTATCAACAAAAATCTCAGGCCCCATCAAATAATACTAATGACTAATGTTCTGAATGGCATATATATGTCATTTCTTCTTTATCATTTTATACTGTCCTAAAGATACCCTGAAAACACATTGTTGTATTCAAATTTGTTTCACTTGAAACAGTTATGCATTATTTTGATTGCATTAATTATTGCATACTTTTCTTCTTTGAAATGTGTCCAACGACCCCCAGAATTAGATCAATTTCAAATCACCTTTAAGCCACTGAATTGAAGAACAACATGGAAATTACCCTTTCCCCCAATGTAGTTGCAGATAAGAGCTTCAGTTACAAACATCATTTTTTTTTAGTTTTCTTAAGAGCAGAATCAGAATAATGTCAGATAACCGAAAATGTCATATTATGACATAATATATATGTGGTCGTAACTTGTTAAGATGCTGATAAAAAAAATAAGAACAAAGTTGCCCAGATGCCTTTTTTGTTAGACTATTCTGGCTAGTTTTGTCAAGATACCTTCAATAGGCTAGCTACTTGATATGACCATATTGATCATTTTCCCCTGTTTGCTTTGCTTCATATATGGGACTGAATATACATGCCACCAACTCTGTGTGGTAGGATAGGTTTTTTATTCAATTTTTTGGGATAAATTAAGGATTGTTTAGATAAATTATGTCTCACTTTAGATTTTTACTAAATAAATCTATATTCTAATTTTACTAGTACTTTTATATTTTAATTAGAACTTTTTAAATTCTTACAAAAGTTAAGTGTATAAATCATTGAAAAAAGATAGAAGACAACTTAAGAAAATGCACAAGAAGGAATGGGAATAGCCAATAAATTAGAACTCCTTGTATTTATTATTTGTCTTTAAAGTCGAAATACAAAGACACACAAGAAGTTGGTGCAATGGCCTACATATTAATAGTCACAACTCACATGATTAAACCTGCAATCAACAAATGTGACCAAACCCAGTCCCTGCATGTCAGTGTGGTGCATCAATGTGCACACAGAGAGAAGAAGAAAAATGAAAAATGTAAAGTTAAATAATCATATGGTCATAGAAGAAATGCTTAGGAAGAGGAAGAAAAAAAAAAGAATGAAACGTGTTACTTCAATTCAATGAACTTTATGTTTCTTATTAGTTAATAATCATTTGTAATTTGTCTTATTAAAAATGATACAAATGATTAGTTCAAATCAGCACTTAATTAACGAGAAGATTCCTTTTATCCCCTCATTTTATGAAAGAAATTTAAGATCAATGAAAATCCCCCTAAAGAGAATTTCATGTTCTCAAAAGCTCATTCATAAATTTCAAAACAAAATTTGGAAAAATAAACTCTTTTTCATATCCAATGAAAAGCTTAATAGTTTGTCCCCATTAAAGAGCTCACAGATTGAGCTTAAGATATAAAAACAAGTGGAACCCTTTATTATATTCATCAAGTTGGTTGCAGACGTGCACTTAGAATCACAAAATCATGGACTAGCCAGTTAAGAAGATTGAAAGGAAAAAGATATCTTGGACAAACACACTTTAAAAAGGGTTTTAGTTTTACTTCAAAGTTATATAAATAAACGAGGAAATCAACAGGGCAATCTAACCTGAATCTTGCTTTTGAATGCTATATTCTGTTAGTGTAACCAATAATATATACTTGCATGGAGGAATCTTCTTTTTTCACAAGAGGATCTCTTAACAAAGATCTCGAGGAAGAAAAAGGGGAGGATTGAAGAATATGATGCTCAAGTTAGTGGGTTTCAGAGTCAGCCTCGACTATGGTTTTGAAGGTCAAGAAGAGTCAAGTAGGCCATTTTGGGGTTATTTGGAAAAATGGGTTTACTTCAATAGTCTCAAAATGCCCTGTGACTCAGCCAATACGAACTGAGAACCAACCAAACCAGTTCAAAAATGTACTGGCGCAGCCATTGTATAATGGTTGAGGCTTTACCCTACATGCGGGATGCTTCAAAGCCTTTCATCCTATAGACTATAACTTTTTCAATAGAAGCAAATTTTGAAACTTGGAATTATTGGTCTTGATTCAAATTACTAGGATTTACAACATGGAACTGCCAAAAGTTTACAGCTAGGTTGACGAACTTCTGAAAATTACCACCACTCGTTCATGCTTACAACTGTCTAAAACTTTGAACTTCCGGTTGTAGATGCTTATTCTATTGCCTCTTTCTCGTGTGTATTCTTCTCTTATGCTCGCCGATGCATGTATGGTGCAATCTGATCTTATCTTTGAGCCTTCTTAAGTGCCAAATATAGTAAAAAAGTTGTGTATTCTTCTCTTATGCTTCAAATCATATTCCTGAACTTGAAGACGGCTTAATCCGTAATTCAGACCCCGCATGTCGATGCAATCAGGATAAGCTCACCACTATTACCAAATAGCATAATAATTTGGTCAAGGGACAATCAGATTCAACTACAGAATCTTGAATACGAGGGAAATCCATGTTTAAGAATCTTCCCTCAGAGTTTCACATTTCGTACTCTCAAGTTCCTAGCAAAACTCAATCCTATCACCTCTTGTTTTTAATGCTATGAACTAAACTTAAGTTCTTGATAATATACACATGATAAAACCATAAAAGCACAAAGACAGCTACAATAAATTAATAATAAACTGGCAGGAGGACCTCAGAATAGGTGATCTTGAGGGTATTGTTCGGCTGATTGCATCTGAAAAACCAAATTCTGAGGTCCAAAATAGAACTCATGTGCAGCAGCAGTTTGCAGACTCTGCCCCTGCTTTTTCAATCCATAGGAGGGATCCCCATAAGTAGAAGACATTAGCATACTTGCTTTTGTTGAATTGAAAGCCATTGTTGCCCCACGGCAAGGCTGATTCCATCGAAAGTGTGTTCTGGGCATGGAAGCCGAATTCGGCTGCTGAGGGAGCTCAGGTGGAGTACCCCTACTGTCCGGAGAAGCAGTTCTCATGTCGTTGAGATTGACCGTTGTTATGTCATGAATGCTAGCTCTTCTCTTATCCTTCCCTCCTGAAAGCTGCCTGATGAAATACTTCTGCGCATGACTAGCCACCTGAGTCGGTGTCCGTGTGACAACGAAATTGCGAGATATATTTCTCCAATCCCCTTTGCCATACTTCTTTACCCCCATTAGAAACAATCTGTTAAAAATCCATTAGAAACCAAAAGCAAATTATACTACTCAAACAACTAAAATCTTCAAAAATAATTTCTTAACCTGAAGGTAATGCCGATACAAACAGATAATATAGATCATAAAAGAAAGAGCACAATTATAAAATAACTACAAAATTTTAAGTGAACACCATTTAAACTTACTTATGCTCCTCTTCTGTCCAAGGAACCCCTTTTTTCCTCTCATGATCTCCAGGCCTGCCTGATGAAGATCTCTTTCCACCGAGTCCATATGCATGTTTCAATCCATCATAACCATGGCTGTTCACCCAATCCAATGTGAATGGAGAGGTGATTACATCTCCGACTGTCTTCCCCGGGATCATCGCAGCCACTTTTCGCCATCGGTCCTGCGTATCTTTATCGTATACTGCCAAGGCATTCTCGAACATCCTGTTCTCTGCTGATGTCCATTTCGTGCTCTTACTCTCTTCAGCAAACCAACTTGTGCTGGAGAGATAAGATGCTGACGACAGAATTTCCATTTCCCACTTCATAACATCAAATTCAACCGACAAAAACAGCCAAAACACGGAAGTTTTATCCAAACAAGTTCCTAAGTCACTAATCGTTTAGAAGATTGATCACTCGAAGAATGGAATTCCCGTTAGAGCATTCGATAAGAATTAAAACAGAAGGAGAAACTATTGGGAAAATGCAGAGCTTATAGGGTATCAAAGGAAAAATATCAGCTTTAAATCAGGCAGCATTTGCAAGGAATCGGAATACTTTTTTTAAGCGTGTAGGCAATCCTTGAGGAATCTGGAAAATACCCACTTTCAGAAAAAAAGAATTTCAAAGAAGAACTATAAAGTTCTGTAACTATCAAAGTAAAAACACTAATGAAAACCAAACACCACAAATCCACACAATTTAAGATCTAAATTGGTGAACTTTTCGATACTAACAACAGAACAAAATGTAAAAGAGCTTTTTTGAAATGAAACAGGGATAGGAACTCTATATTTATAACATATCTGAGGAAATAATTATATATATATATATATATATATTCTCTTTTGTAGAGTAGTAATAACTGAAACAACTAACACTGAGCTTCAACTTCCTCGATAACCCATCTAGGGGGAAAAGGAGAAGTTGACAGCAGAATCCAAGAAACTAAGCTGAACCCAATAAACAAAAAGGGCTGGAAATGAAAAACCCAATTTGGAAACTTTAAAGAAATGAAAAAATAACACTGAATTGTGTAGAAAAATGACGGAAACTGAGAAAAAATGTGTTGTTTTCTTCTTTTTTTTCCTTGAAAAAATAACAAGAAAAAAGAGCTCTGAGCTCAACAAATAAAGAAGCAAAGCTACTACTTTTAAAATTTTAGAATGAATAATGCTTTACATTCATATTGTGTATCATGTTAATACAAATATATATACAAATTCAACCTAACTAACTAACTGTTAATTAGTTACAACTTAAAACAGAAATAACAAACTTTCTACTTCTAACACTCCCCCTCAAGTTGGTGGGTAGAAGACATCCTTTACCCCTAACTTGGATACAAGATATTCATGTTGTACTCTAAGGCCTTAGTAAACAAATCAGCCAATTGCTCTGAAGAAGGCACAAATTCTGTTTTGATGAGTCCATCTTGTATTTTTTTTCTCTCACAAAGTGACAATCAATTTCTATGTGCTTTATCGTTCATGATACACTGGATTTGCTGCAATCTGACGAGCACATTGGCTAAGCCGTTCAACAAAGTCAGTTCTGCTGCAATAGTTGCCATGCTTCTGTATTCTGCTTCAGCAGACGATCTGGCCACAGTATTTTGCTTCTTGGATTTCCATGAAATCAACGAACTTCCAAGCTTAATGCAGAAACCAGAAACAGAGGATTTCCATGAAATCAATGAACTTCCAAGCTTAATGCAGAAACCAGAAACAGACTTCCTTGAATTAAGACATGCTGCCCAGTTTGAATCACAAAATGCCTTAAGTTCACATCTGCTACTCGAATCCATCAGAATTCCTTGACCAGGATTCCTTTTGATGTACCTCACTATCCTCAATGTTGATTGCAAATGAGATTCTTTTAGTTGTTGCATAAACTGACTTAAGTGATGTACAGCAAAGCATATATCTGGTCTGGTATGTGTGAGGCAAATTAGCCTTCCAATGAGCCTTTGAAAATCACTCTTGTCTACTAGCAACTTGTCATCAACTCCATTACTCCCTTTAGTGCACAACTCATCATACTCTGTTGTGGTGAGCCTTGCATTTTGCTCAAGAGGTGTATTTGCTAGTTTTGAACCACTTACACTTGTTTCTCAATCAATTCAAAGGCATACTTGCGCTGATTGATTAAAATTCCTTCTCTTGATCTCATAAACCCGAGACCCAAAAATACTTTAACTCACCAAGATCTTTCATCTTAAATTTCTGTTCAGAAGACCTTTAAGTCATCAATCAAACAATTATCATTTCCAGTGATCAACAAATCATCAACATAGATCAACAAAACTACAATCTTATCATCCTTCTTCATTGTGAACAAAGAATAATCAAACTTACTTTGTTCATAACTAGCCCCTAAAAGAGCCTCAGTTAACTTCAAATTCCATTGTCTGGATGCTTGTTTCAACCCATAAAGGGATTTTTGCAGTCTACACACCTTATTCTCTCCCTGACTACAAAAACCAGGAGGATGTTCCATATCTACCTCATCAAACAAATCACCTTGCAAGAATGCATTATACACATCAAGTTGAAACAAAGGCCAATCATAAACAGAAGCTATGGCAAGAAGAAATCGAACAGTAACCAATTTGACCACTGGTGAGAAGGTATCCACATAATCCACACCCTCTCTTTGACTATAACCCTTGGCCACTAATCGAGCTTTAAATCTCTCTATAGCACCAGCAGCATTGTATTTAACTTTATAAACCCATTTGCATCCAATAGGAATTTTTCCCTTGGGTAAAGGGACAACTGACCAAGTTTTATTTGTTTCAAGGGCAAAAATTTCATCCTTCATAGCTTTTACCCATTCAGGATGATGAATGGCCTCATGGTAGAAGTGAGGCTCAACAGGATGTGAAATAGAGGAAATAAAGGATTGTGTAGCAATAGGAAGATGAACATAGGAAATAAAATTTGAAATAGGATAGGTAGAGGTTGAAACAGAATTGCAAACAAAATCATTCAACCATTGGGGTTGTTTAGAAACCCTAGTAGACTTCCTAACCAAAACTGGAGCTACTGAATCTATTGAAGGTACTGACTGTTGTGATGATTGCCCAGTGGCAGATGTAGAATATGGACCAAAATCAGATGTAGAAGAATAAGCAGGTTCAGATGGGACAATATGAGTAGTTTGTTGACCAAAAGAAAGAACCAAAAACTAAAAATCAGGAATGAAAGGAGCGGAAGGAAAAAATATTATGTTTGAGTAGGAAAATGAAATGAAAATATCTGCTTATGAAAAACAACATCCCTATTAACAAAGAATTTTTTAGAAGTGAGATCAAACAAGAGATTCCCTTTTTTAGTATTAGAGTGTCCCATTAGAACAGAAGGTAAGGCTCTAGGTGCAAATTTATCATTTGGTTTGACATTAGTGGCATAACACAAGCAACCAAAAACTCTAAGAATAGACAAATCAGGGGGTTTGTGATAAAGCAATTCATAAGGAGTTTTTCATTGTAAAACAAGAATGAAGTCTGTTTATGATGAAACATGCTGTTAAAACACATTCACCCCAAAATTTAATTGGCACTTTTGATTGAAAACGTAAAGCTCTAGCTACTTCTAAAAGATGCCTATGCTTTCTTTATGCAATTCCATTTTGCTGTGGAGTTTGAACACAGGAACTTTGATGTAAACACCAAGAGTTGAGAAAAAAGGAGTACAATGAGAGTTGAAAAATTATGTACCATTGTCACTTCTAACAATCTTAGTGACAGAAGAAAACTGAGTAGAAGCAAAGGAGATAAATTGTTTAAGGAACAAAACAACATCATTCTTAACTCTTAAGAGGTAAACCCAAGTCATTCTGGTGCAATCATCAACAATAGTCAGAAAGTATCTATGACCACTATGAGTGGAAATCCTATAAGGACCCCATAAGTCTATATGAATTAATTCAAAGGGTGTTGAGGATCTGGTAAGACTAATAGGAAATGGCAGCCTGGTTTGTTTAGCTAAAGGACAAATATCACAAGAATGGACAATATTTAAATCAAGTTTATCAGAAACATAAGGAGATAATTTGCGCATAGATGAAACAAAAGCATGCCCAAATCTAGCATGCCAAAGACCAGTTTTATTAGAAATTGAAACAATGGGTACAGAACAAGCAGAAGCAACATGCCCAGAACGAACTAAAGAATCAGGAAACAAACCAGTAGCTCCTTTAGACTCAAAAATATAAAGGCCATTAAATCTTCTACCAATCCCCTTGATCATGCCAGTGCAAAGATCCTGCAAGATGCAAATGTCAGGATAGAAAGAAACAATACAATCATGATCTTTAGCAAGCCAAGAAACAGATCATATTATGAGAGAAGCTAGGGACAAACAATACACTAAAAGAACTAAATCAGAGGTTAACCTATGAGAACCTATATGTGATACTAGTTCAATTTGGCCATTTGGTAGATGAACATAACGAGGGGAAGAGCATGAAACAAGAAATTGCAAACCCTTGAAAACATATAAAATATGGTCAGTGGCACCAGTATATATAATCCAGCGAACGCACAAGCCATTAGAAGCAGGTAAACCATAATTAACAGTACCTGCAAGATTCACACTGGAATCTGGAGCTGGGTTCTTACTCAACAAACTGAGAATTTGATTGTACTGCTCAGAAGTAAACGCAGGTACAGTCGAAATAGAAGAAGGAACCATCGATCCAGTTTTAGTCTCTCCATCACGGTGTGCCCGAAGTAACTGCCATGGCAGCTTGAGGAGTCTTCTTTCGACTGAACTTGAAATCCGGCGGAAAACCGATAAGGCGATAACAGCGATCGCGACTATGGCCTTTGACCTTGCAATACTCACAGTGCCAGTAAATCGCCTTCGATCACTCCCTTTAAAATAGCCGAGAACATTACAGAGAATTCGATGGGTGCACTATTTAGCTGAATCCGGTGAGACTCCTCCTGAATGATCATGAATACGCCTGATTAACAGTGGCAAGTGGCTTTATAATGAGAATTTGGCTTTGAATGGCAGAGTAAGTTTCATTAAGACCCTCAGAACTGAAAAAGTCATTGTTGTGCCATGATCAGAATTCTGCCGTGCAGCCTCACACTCACAGAAAGAATAAGGGACAAGAGTTGTGTATTCGTCCCACAAAAGCTTGAGACGTAAATACATCGAGATTGAAGAGTCACCTTGAATAAGTGTAGCAATCGAACGATGCAGAAAAAAAAACTCTGGCACCGTCAACTTTATCAAACCTTTCCTTGAGATCTCTCCAAACATCCACTACATTCGAGCAAAGACGATACCAGCTGACAGATCTTGACTTACAGAGTTCAAAATCCACAGAGCACAAGCATTGCATCGTTCCCACTGAGGCTGCAACGGTTTGTCATAATCCTCTCTTCGACAGGTTCCATCCACGAACCAAGCTTATTCTTGGCGAGGAGCTCAATACGCATTGATCTACTCTAAATAACATAGTTTTTGTAGCCCGTGAGTTTATGCGAGACCAATTGGATGCCAGGTGTATCTGAAGGGTGCAAAAATAAGGGGTGATTGAAATCGATGGGGAAAACCATGAACCCTAGTAAACGATGGGCAAAAAAGGGGTGAATCTGATTTGGGAGAAAGTGATTGAAGCAAGAAAGCGGGCCTCAGTGCTCAGCAAAAGATGGGCCAAACAGAGAACCCAAAAATGGAAAGCCTGTAAACTGATATCATGTTAAAATTTTATAATGATTAATGCTTTACAATCATATTGTGTATCAATTCAATACAAATATATATACAAATTCAGTCTAACTAACTAACTAACTGTTAATTAATTACAACTTAAATCAGAAATAACAAACTTTCTACTTTTAACGACTAAACGATGAATGTGTTAAAATGTTTGGGAAGAGAGAGAAGAAGCGGAGAAATGAGAAAAGGTTATTGGAGGAGAAAAGGGGCAGTGGGGGATACGGTCAGCTTGAAATGGGGTAGCCGCCAAAAGGACGGCCCGGATCAACGGTACAATTACATGCGGACAACTTGATTTAGTGGGGCCCTCGGACGGTTACAACTCTATGATTGGGCAGTCACCCTAATAATTGTGCAGGTTACGATCTCAAGGAGGACGAAAAACTGAGTCCCGATCTGATCCCGGCACGCGGTATTAAATGTTGGCCTATCAGGACCATAATGGTAGCCCCACCCATAAGTAGCCTTGGTCACGGTTGAACCAATGATCTGGATACACGTAGTAGGTTAAAAAAGTTTTTGTATTTAATTGTGCCCAATGAAATATTTGAGTTAATCCAAGTACTACCTGAAAATTTTCAGTTTGACTGAATTTATGAATTTTGAATATTGTCAAATCTAATATATTTATTCGAATTTTTATTTAAAATTTAAATATAATTTATTATAATGTTATGATGATGATGGTAATTCTCATTTTTTTTAATAGAAAGGACCTAATGGCTAAACACTACAAGTTACTGACTTGGTGAAGATTTCGAGCATCAGCGTAAAGCAAGTTGGAGACTTCACTGGAGGAGACGTGAAGTGGAGTAGCCTGAAGTGCTAGGAAGGAGATGTTAGTTCTCGTTTAACTAGGCAAATGATAAAATAAATCTTAACCTTCAATAAATAGTCACTTTTTTTTTTATTGTTTTTTGGGTAAATTATGTGTTTAGTACATAAATTATCAGTTTTTTATTTGATTTAGTATCTAAACTTTTAATTTTTTTAAAATTATATCTAATGTTTAGTTTAGTTTTTGTTTTGTTTTATTACCTTATCATTAAAAACTTAATGGCACTGTATTTTTTATGGATAAATTACATCATTCATCATTCAACTATTTTTCACTCATATTTTAGTACTAAAGTTTAAAACTTTTCAATTTAACTACTCAACTTTCAAATTACTCTTATTTTAATCATTCTAATTTATTTTATTAATAACTTTTGCTACATAACATTTATTATTATTTTAAAGTTAGAGTGATTTGAAAGTTAAGTGATTAAATTAAAAAAATTAAACTTTAGTACGAAAATAGTTTAGTGATGAATGATGCGATTTACACATAGAAAATGTGCCACATGCAAATTACCTATTAAGATTTTATCAGTGATGTACTAAAACAAAATAAAAATTAAGCGTTAGGTATGGTTTTGAAAATTTTAAAAATTAGTACTAAAATTGACCAAAACTAATAGTTTATGTACTAAACGCAATCAACTCACACCGATGCCTTGAGATCACGTGATAAACCCACATGACATTATACACTAATATGACAGTGTCACGTATGCAAGGAGTTAGTATTGACAAAATGATTTTTTTTTTTTGCCATGTTAGCAATATACATATATGATTAATTTAATAATTTTTATTTAATATTTTCCTCTAATTAAATGATGGCATATACCATTTTTTTATTAATTTAAATTTAATATATTAAAATACGCAATTATTGAGACTTAAATTTAGATAGTCAAAAGAGAAAATCTAACACCCAATCACTAAGTCAAATTCTATTCTTAGTCTTTTCTTGAAAATTTGATTCGAAGTCAATTGAAATTGGAAGGTTAAAAATAATTCAAATAATAATTTTTAAAAATCATAATATGATTAGTATTTTAAAAAACATATAAAATATAATTAATTTTATTTTGAATGGAAAGGAGGCAAGCGCCTTATCTAATTACTTTAAATCTGGTATAGGGCGGACCAGAAGAATCTCTTTCCACGAGGGGCGGCAAGGAGATAGGGGTAGTGGGAAAAAGTAAAAACATGCAGCTGAAAATTCCTTGGAGCTTCAAGCGTGGCCATTCCATCGACGACCATGTTGCCTTCTCGAGGGATCCAAATGAGTTTAGTAACCCAGTGACGTTTGAGGCAGGATATTTCTCCACATTTCTTGCACTACATAACAGTCACGAAGAACGTGTAAACTCAATTCAACGTGGGAGTAGTTGAGAGTACACATGGGATTATCTTCCATACCACGTCGGACACGTTCCTGATTGGTCATGATACGCTCTTGAAGCACAAGTCAAAGAAAGACTCGAATATGATAAGGAACATGGAGGGACCAATTTCGATCCCAAAGGGGATTACTGTCGCCCCAGCCAGCTTTCTTCAACCAATTTAGAATAAGCAACACTCGTTTTCAAATTGTAAAGGGGTCTCATTTCCAGACACATTTATCGGCATCATTCACATAACAGGGGAATACCCATGATGTGGGTATGATGTTGTCTGTAAAAAACATCTTTTGAATGGACTGCATTCTCTAAGCTAAGATGGGCAGTGGCA